GACCTGAAGGGCCCCGAAATTGATATCAAAGGCCCCAAGGTCGATGTTGACCTTCCTGACGTTGAGCTGGAAGGGCCAGAGGGGAAGCTGAAGGGCCCCAAGTTCAAGATGCCGGACATGCACATCAAGGCCCCCAAGTTCTCCATGCCCGACGTCGACTTCAATCTGAAGGGCCCCAAAGTGAAGGGGGATGTGGACGTGTCTGTCCCCAAGCTGGAGGGTGACCTGAAGGGCCCCGATGTGGACATCAAAGGTCCCAAAGTCGACATTGAGGCACCCGATGTGGACATTCACGGCCCAGAGGGAAAATTCAAAATGCCCAAGTTCAAGATGCCCAAATTCGGGATGCCTGGCTTCAAAGCAGAAGGCCCAGAGGTGGACGTCAACCTGCCCACAGGAAACCTGGATGTTTCTGGTCCCAAGGTGGACATTGAAGGTCCAGAGGTGGACATTGAAGGTCCTGAAGGGAAGGTGAAGGGCCCCAAGTTCAAGATGCCCGACATGCACATCAAGGCGCCCAAGATCTCCATGCCCGACATTGACTTGAACCTGAAGGGTCCCAAAGTGAAGGGAGATGTGGAGGTTTCCGCACCTGATCTGGAAGGCCCTAAGGTCGAGATTGAGGCCCCCGACATGGACATCAAAGGCCCAGAAGGGAAGCTTAAGGGTCCCAAGTTCAAAATGCCGGACATGCACATCAAGGCTCCAAAAATCTCCACGCCTGACTTTGATCTGAACCTGAAAGGTCCCAAAGTAAAAGGAGATGTGGACATGTCATTGTCAGGACCAGAATGTGAACTGAAAGGTCCGGAGGTCAATATTGGTGCTCCTAAATTAGACATAGGTGCCCCTGAGGTCCATATGGACAGTCCCGAGGGTAAATTTAAGCTGCCCAAATTCAAAATGCCCAAGTTTTCCATGCCGGGCTTTAAAGGGGAGGGGGTGGACGTTGACGTGAACCTCCCGAAGGGAGACATTGACATTTCGGGCCCCAGCATAGATGTAGAGGCTCCTGATCTGCACGTGGATGGAAAAGTGAAAGGTCCCAAATTTACAATGCCTGAAATGCACCTTAAGGCTCCCAAAGTCTCCATCCCCGACGTTGACTTCAACATCAAGGGGCCGGCACTGAAAGGAGACATAGATGTTTCTGGACCCAGGCTTGAAGGTGATTTGAAAGCCCCCCAAATTGATGTGAAAGCTCCCAAAATAGACATTGACACTCCCGATGTGACCATCGAAGGGCCGGAAGGGAAACTCAAAGGCCCCAAGTTCAAGATGCCGGACATGCACATCAAGGCGCCCAAGTTCTCCATGCCCGACGTTGACTTTAATCTGAAGGGCCCCAAGCTGAAGGGAGACGTGGATGTCTCGGCACCCAAGTTGGAAGGGGATTTGCAGTGTCCGGATGTTGACATCAAAGGCCCCAAGTTGGACCTTCAGGCACCCGACGTGAACATCGAAGGGCCGGATGGCAAACTGAAAGGGCCCAAGCTCAAGATGCCAGAAATGCATGTCAAGACCCCCCAGATCTCCATGCCGGACATCGATCTGAACCTCAAGGGACTGAGGGTGAAAGGCGACGCTGACCTTCAGGGCCCGAAGCTCGAGGGAGGTCTGAAGGGTCCTGAAGTTGATATTAAAGGCCCCAAAGTCGATATCCAGGGCCCAGAGGTTGACGTTGAGGGTCTGGAGGGAAAAGTGAAGATGCCTAAAATGAAGATCCCCAAGTTTGGCTTTAAAGGGGAAGGTCCTGAAGTGGACGTGAACCTGCCAAAGGCAGAGGTTGACCTTTCAGGCCCCACAGTGGATATCAGCGTCCCAGATGTGAGCATCGAAGGTCCAGAGGGAAAAGTGAAAGGTCCTAAACTGAAGATGCCGGAAATGCACGTGAACGTTCCTAAAATCTCAATGCCTGAGATAGACTTAAGTTTGAAAGGCCACAAAACGAAGGGAGGCTTTGACCTTTCAACCCCGAAGATGGAAGGTAACCTGAAAGGTCCTGAAATTGATATCAAAGGCCCAGAATTTGGAGTCAAAGGCCCGGAAGTTGACGTTGAATGTCCTGACCTGAACATTGAAGGGCCGGAGGCAAATGTCAAACTTTCCAAGTTTAAGAAGCCGAAGTTTGGGTTTGGGATGAAAAGCCCGAAGGCAGAAATCAAAGTCCCGGGGGCAGAAGTGGATTTACCTGAGGCAGAGCTGAACGTGGAGTCGCCCGACATCAACGTGGCTGGAAAGGGTAAGAAGAGTAAGTTCAAGATGCCAAAGCTTCATGTGAGCGGCCCGAAAGTTAAAGGCAAGAAAGGCGGGTTTGATGTGAATGTGGCTGGTGGAGAGCTCGATGCGAATTTGAAATCTCCGGACCTGGATATGAACATGGCTGGGCCGGATGTGACGATAAAAGGTGACGCTACAGTGAAGTCCCCCAAAGGGAAGAAACCCATGTTTGGGAAAATCTCCTTCCCAGATGTTGAATTTGATCTTAAATCACACCGATTCAGGGGGGATGCTTCTGTGGCCGTCCCAAAAATCGAGGGGGAACTGAAAGCGCCCGATCTAGAAGTCGCTGTGCCAACTGTCAAAGGCGACGTCAAAAGCCCGAGTCTCAATGTGGACGTCGAAGCTTCTGAGGTGAACCTGAAGAAACCGAAGTTCAAACTTCCCAGTGGGCAGGTGGGCGTAGGGGACTTGAAGATTGAGGGCGACCTGAAAGGACCCGCCGTTGACATCACCGTTCCCTCCATCCCAACACCAGACGTCGACTTAAATGTGAAAGGACCAAAAGTAAAAGGGGAAATCGGCCTTCCCGGAGCAGAACTGGAAGGTCCCGATGGAAAGCTGAACCCGCCCAAGGTGGGGAAAATGGGTCTCGGTCTGGAAATGCCGGATGCAAACTTGGATATCTCGGCCCCAGCGGTGGAAGGAAGCGTGAGCCTCCCTTCGGCTGATGTGAACCTCCGAGGGGTTGATGTAAAGCTCAAAGGGCCCCAAATCTCGGGACCCGATTTTGATGGAAACCTGAAAGGACCAAAAATAAAGGGAAATCTGGATGTTTCAAGCTCTGTTGAAGGGCCAAATGTCAGCCTGGACGCGCCAGGCGTTGACATTGGAGGCTTGGGAGGAAAGCTGAAGCTGCCGAAGTTTAAATCCCCCGGTATGGAGGGCCCTGATCTGAGCGTGAGAGGAGGTGTCGACTGCTCGGTCCCGCAAGTGGAGGTGGATGCGAAAGCCCCAGGTGCGAATCTCAACCTCGGCCTCCCAGACATCGGTATCAAAGGGCCCTCGGTGGACATTTCTGCCCCGGATTTGGATGTAAACCTGAAAGGACCAAAGTTGAAAGGAGATCTCGACCTTTCTGCCAGCGTCAAAGCCCCCCAAGCATCAGTGGAGGCGCCTGATGTCGGCTTTGAAATTCTGGGTGGCACCATCAAGCTCCCGTCCCTCAAACTCCCTCAGTTTGGTATTTCCAGTCCTGGTGTGGATGGCGTTGAAGCGGGTGTCAATCTTGAAGGCCCTCAAGTGAAAGGAGGCCTGAAGGGCTCAGGGGCTGGTGGCGGGTTGGAAGGACCCGATGTAGAATTGAAAGGGCCGAAATTCCAAATGCAGCCACCCGGTGTGTCCTTGCCGGATGTTGACCTGAAGCTGAAAGGACCAAACCTAGGGGGTGACGTGGATGTTGCCGGTGACATCAAAGGCCCAAAAGTCAGCGTGGAAGGGCCTCGTGTCGACCTCAAGGCGCCTGGAGCGGGTGTCCACCTTGACGCTCCTGCCTTGGATGCGTCTGCACTGAAAGTGTCCGGGTCGGGTTTTAACGTCAATGTAAAAGGGCCGAAGATCAAAGGTGGCGCCACCATCTCTGGAGAGGCGGCAGCACCGGCTGTGAGTGTCGGCGGAGGAGCTCTTCACGTTACCGGCCCCAAGGTGGGAATCGGAGGTCCCGGCGTCACCGTGAGCGTCCCGCAAGGTAGCTCGGAAAGCAGCCTGGGAAAAGTATCATTCCCCAAGCTGCGAATGCCGAAATTCGTGTTTTCGGACCCCGAAGTGAAGGGCAGAGAGATGGGGGTTGACGTCGAGTTCGCCGGGGTGGACGCCAACCTCCAGGCTGGCACCGCAGAGCTGGAGTTGGAGGACGCGGATGTGCGGCTGAAGAAATCCAAAATCAAAATGCCCAAGTTCAATTTTTCTAAGGCAAAGGGGAAGAGCTCCCCGGAGGTTTCTGGGTCGGTTTCGGGATCGAAAGGTGACCTGAAGAGCTCCAAAGTCAGCTTGGGGTCGGCAGAAGGCGAGCTGGACGGGGCAGAAGGGCCGTCGGCGAAAGGGAAGTTCTCCCTCTTCAAAAGCAGGAAGACGCGTCACCGGTCGTCGTCCTTCAGCGACGAGCGCTCGTCCCACTCCACCCCCACGGGAACGCTGGAGCTGGACATCGCCTCGGGTGCCGACAAGGGGAAACAGGGCAAAATGAAATTCGGGACGTTTGGGGGAATCGGCTCTAAAACCAAAGGTTCTTACGAGGTGACGGGAAGCGACGAGGAGACGGGGAAGGCGCAGGGCAGCGGGGTCTCGCTGGCCTCCAAGAAATCGCGTCTCTCCTCCTCCTCCAGCAACGACAGCGGGACGAAGGGCGGCTTCCGCATGCCCGGGGTGGAGCTGACGGTGGCCAAGAAGAAAGAGTAGCGCGGCTGTACATAGGTGCCTGTGTATATAGGGAGCCCTTTCCCAGATATGTATATATATTCTTTATTTTTTTCTTTTTTCTTTTTTTTTTTGGGAGCTGTAGTTCTTTCACAATTTGGGCATAGTTTTGCCGCAGTGCATGCTGGGAGCTGTAGTTCTTTCACAATTTGGGCATAGTTTTGCCGCAGTGCATGCTGGGAGCTGTAGTTCTTTCACAATTTGGGCATAGTTTTGCCGCAGTGCATGCTGGGAGCTGTAGTTCTTTCACAATTTGGGCATAGTTTTGCCGCAGTGCATGCTGGGAGCTGTAGTTCTTTCACAATTTGGGCATAGTTTTGCCGCAGTGCATGCTGGGAGCTGTAGTTCTTTCACAATTTGGGCATAGTTTTGCCGCAGTGCATGCTGGGAGCTGTAGTTCTTTCACAATTTGGGCATAGTTTTGCCGCAGTGCATGCTGGGAGCTGTAGTTCTTTCACAATTTGGGCATAGTTTTGCCGCAGTGCATGCTGGGAGCTGTAGTTCTTTCACAATTTGGGCATAGTTTTGCCGCAGTGCATGCTGGGAGCTGTAGTTCTTTCACAATTTGGGCATAGTTTTGCCGCAGTGCATGCTGGGAGCTGTAGTTCTTTCACAATTTGGGCATAGTTTTGCCGCAGTGCATGCTGGGAGCTGTAGTTCTTTCACAATTTGGGCATAGTTTTGCCGCAGTGCATGCTGGGAGCTGTAGTTCTTTCACAATTTGGGCATAGTTTTGCCGCAGTGCATGCTGGGAGCTGTAGTTCTTTCACAATTTGGGCATAGTTTTGCCGCAGTGCATGCTGGGAGCTGTAGTTCTTTCACAATTTGGGCATAGTTTTGCCGCAGTGCATGCTGGGAGCTGTAGTTCTTTCACAATTTGGGCATAGTTTTGCCGCAGTGCATGCTGGGAGCTGTAGTTCTTTCACAATTTGGGCATAGTTTTGCCGCAGTGCATGCTGGGAGCTGTAGTTCTTTCACAATTTGGGCATAGTTTTGCCGCAGTGCATGCTGGGAGCTGTAGTTCTTTCACAATTTGGGCATAGTTTTGCCGCAGTGCATGCTGGGAGCTGTAGTTCTTTCACAATTTGGGCATAGTTTTGCCGCAGTGCATGCTGGGAGCTGTAGTTCTTTCACAATTTGGGCATAGTTTTGCCGCAGTGCATGCTGGGAGCTGTAGTTCTTTCACAATTTGGGCATAGTTTTGCCGCAGTGCATGCTGGGAGCTGTAGTTCTTTCACAATTTGGGCATAGTTTTGCCGCAGTGCATGCTGGGAGCTGTAGTTCTTTCACAATTTGGGCATAGTTTTGCCGCAGTGCATGCTGGGAGCTGTAGTTCTTTCACAATTTGGGCATAGTTTTGCCGCAGTGCATGCTGGGAGCTGTAGTTCTTTCACAATTTGGGCATAGTTTTGCCGCAGTGCATGCTGGGAGCTGTAGTTCTCCCCTTACCGGCCACGCTAGGCCGCAGTGCACGCTGGGAGCTGTAGTTCTTTCACCATTTGGGCACAGTTTTGCCGCAGTGCACGCTGGGAGCTGTAGTTCTAATGTTCATCGGCCATCTTCGGCCGCAGTGCATGCTGGGAGATGTAGTTCTAATGTTTGTTGGACACATTCGGCCGCAGTGCACGCTGGGAGCTGTAGTTCTAACGTTTGTCAGCCATTTTCGGCCGCAGTGCATGCTGGGAGATGTAGTTCTTTCAGAATTTGGGTGACATTTTGCCGCAGTGCACGCTGGGAGATGTAGTTCTAATGTTTGTTGGCCATGTTAGGCCGCGGTGCACGCTGGGAGATGCAGTTCTCCCTTTATAGGCCACGCTAGGCCGCGGTGCACGCTGGGAGATGTAGTTCTTTAACGATTCGGGCAAAATTTTGCTGCAGTGCACCCTGGGAGATGTAGTTCTCCCCTTATCGGCCACGCTAGGCCGC